AAAAAAAAAAAAAAAAAAGACTGAAGCAAAACCCCAGGAGACCCACCTTCTGTACCTACCAGCTATATGGGACAGGTAGGACTCACTGATCCTCTCTGAGCTGGGAGAATATTCCAATCTTCAACAGATCTCCAGTTGTTTCACTAGTATGGATCTTATGGACCCACTCAAAGTGATTTCCCCTGATGGAGGGCAGGATGTCCCCTCCTTTTGTAGGTCCCTTGTGCTAGGCAACTTCTAGGAATAAATCAGTATTCCTTCACCCCCAACATCTGAAGATAAGATCAGAGCAAAAAGAGAGATATCACACACACACACACACACACACACACACACACACGCACGCATTGGCTAATGCCTGTAATCCTAGCACACTCTGGGAAGCCAGGGTGGGTAGATTCCTTGAGCTCTAGAGTTCTGAGACCAGCCTGGGCAAGAGCAAGAACCCCATCTCAGGCTTGGCACCTGTCTCAAGTGGCTAAGGCACCAACCACATACACCAGAGAGCCGACAGGTTCGAATCCAGCCCTGGTTCGCCAAAACAATAATGATGGCTGCAACAACAACAACAAAAAAAAAAATAGCTGGGCGTTGTGGCAGGTGCCTATAGTCCCAGCTACTTGGGAGGCTGAGGTAGGAGAATCGCTTGAGTCCAGGAGTTGGAGATTGCTGTGAGCTGTGATGCCACAGCACTCTACCCAGGGGGGCAGCTTGAGGCTCTGTCTCAAAAAAAAAAAAGAACCCCATCTCAACTAATAGAAAAACTAGCTGGGCTTTGTTGCAGGCACCTGTAGTCCCAGCTACTCAAAAGGCTGAGGCAAGAGGATTGCATGAGCCCAAGAGTTTGAGGTTGAGGCAAGGCACTGTGGCTTACGCCTGTAATCCTAACACTCTGGGAGGCTGAGGCAGGTGGATTGCTTGAGCTCACCAGTTCGAGACCAGCCTGAGCAAAAGTGAGACACCCCCACTCCACCCCCATTTCTATTAAAAATAGAAAAACTGAAGCAAGAGGGTCACTTGAGCCTGCGTTGGAGGTTGCTATGAGCTATAACTCCACAGCACTCTACACAGGGTGACAACTTGAGATTCTGTCTCAAAAAAAAGCAGAAGAAGAAGAGAGATTTCCCCAGCCAGAGACCCCACAGAGGGGTCCCAGATACTAAGATCCAGTAGAGGTGAACATGGATCATCAGAAAACCAGGAGGCCAGGCTGGAGAAGGGGTGGGAAGGGGGAGTTTCTTTTGTTGTTTGTGAATTTCCTTCTTTGCCTAAACTGGGAAAAAACCAGAAAACAAAAAAGAGAAGTGGGAAAGGCAAAGCAACGTCAGGCTAAGGGGGTGGCTAGAGGAGACTCAAGTCAACACTCCAGGGAGCCAGCTCCTTCCACCATACTGCACCACCCTCCTGCAGCGCTGCTATGGCTCCCCTCCACTGAGGTACCTACCAGCCCTTTAATTGATTTCCTTGTGCCTTCCCCAGCCCAACCTCTCCCTTTCCCAGAGCATCCTCCACACAGCCCTATTAACCTTCCTACAACACAGCTCAGGGGCCTTTACTCCCCAGCTCATAAACTTTCAATGGTTCCCTACTGCACACTGGATTCAAATCAGTTTCCTAACCTGACATGTAAGAGTCTTCAAGAACAGCCCCACCTACCTTCACAGATTCATCTACCAGGTTCTTCATCCACTGGTCCTTGCCCTCATGCCCAGCTCTTTCTGACTCTGCTTTTGCTTCTTCTTTGTCTCCATTTCAGTGCCTTTCACCTTCTCAGAAAGGAGAATGCCTGATATCCTTTAGATGTCTTGCCATAAATGCCATCTACCCCTAAGCCCTGGCTTCACTTGCCTGCCGTGTGGGTCTTCACTCTTCCCTGGAATTGTCTACCCTAGCAAGCCTGTTTCCTCCATCAACTGTGAGTCCTAGAGGGTGGGGTTTGCATCTTCTTCACCAGCGTGAGCCCCTCATCGCCCCCTGGCCCAGTGTCTGAGCAAACTGTAAGAATGTGTGGCACTTGGGCTAGCACAGAGAAACGGTGCCTGAAGTATTAAAAAAGGAATGTGAGCACAGGCTTAAGAGGATTGAGGAAGTCTGAGAAGTTTGTGTAGAGAACAGGGAAAACAGCTCACTATGTACAGACATTCATCCCACCAGCTTGGTGCCCAGGTAGAATATAGAGAGAATTGGCTGCCAGAGCCCATCTGGGGCTGCGGCTGGGGTGCAGAGGGCACTGGGGGAAGCAGCAGTGTCTTAAGCGTTTTACCATCTGTTTCCTGGGGTGGGAGGAGGAATCTTTTGGTGCATTGTGGCCCCCTATTACCCTCCACCAATTGCAGAATTGAAAGTGATACTCTGCAAGCTGGGAGCACTTTCCATAAACAGAAGAGAGCCTTCTCCACTGAGAGTTCTGGAGACTGGATCTTCGGGTACATTCCTTCATGTATTCATTCAACAAATATGAGCCAGGCAGCACACCAAGACAAAATAGACCTAGTCTGCATCTTTACAGAGCTGATGGTCCAGAGGGGAGACAAATACACGCACACACACCCCTCCAAGAGACAATAGATGGGAAGGACTGATTTAGAAGGGCAGCAAGACACAATTGTCAGAAGCGATTATTGGAGCTAAAACAAGACTTTTCTATAAGACACAGGCCTGGGACACTCCCTTGCCCCTGGCCCATGATGGCCCCAGCTCAGCTCCCTTTCATTTAGAACAGGGGAAATCTTAGGCCATACCTAGGAACTGAGGCCTCAGCGGACAGAACCCACTGCAAAACAAAAGCAGCTGGTCAGGGAAGGAGATAAAGAGTATCAAGTAGGACGGCGCCTGTGGCTCAGTGAATAAAGCACC